GTTGGATATATTCAATAGAATCGCAAAACAGAGGAGTGTCACACGCACATATATTAATGTGGCTCTGCAACAAGATCACTTCGAAGAAATCGACTATGTAATATGCACTGAAATACCCCATCCTGATGTCGATAAGGTCTTGCATGAAGTTGTGACGAAAAATATGATACATGGACCCTGCGGTCCATTGAATTCAAACTCACCATTCATGATAGACAGAAAATGCTCCAAGCGATATCCTTGAGTATTGTCATCCAACATGGGTTGACGAAATGACGGATACCACTTACACAGAAGACGATCAGCAGAAAAGGGTGGTAAGGCAGACACTAAACAAATGCGAAACAGTGACACCGAAGCAGATAACGAGTGGGTTGTTCCACATTCGCCTTTACTATCAAAGACATTCATGCGCACATAAACGTGGAATACTGCAGCGACGTCAAACCCATAAAATCACATGTAAGTACTTGAACAAGGGCAGCGACATGGTAGTTTTTGTCCTGAAACCAAAAAGAAATGATATGAATCCGGGTACATATATAGATAAAGTCCCTCAGTATCAGGCTGGAGGAGACATAAACAGCAATGAAGCTGTATGGCACATTCTTTGATTCTCAATATATGAACGAAGCCCAGCTGTCGTTCACCTAGCAGTACTCATGGAGAATGGTAAACGCGTTTATTGCACAGCTGCAATTGTCCATCGAATGGCCCTGAATCCACCGGGTACAACGGTAATTGCTTTTTCCATATTGTCTCAGCATGAGGCGTTTGCTAACCAACTGGTGTATTCTCAGGTGCCCACGTATTACACTTGGGATGTGAGTAAGCCATCAATGGAACGACGCGAAGGAGGAGTAAGGGTCAACGGACAAACTAACATATTTAAGGAAACTACCATAGGCAGACTGTACACCGTGCATCCCAATCAAAGTGAATGGTTTTTTCTTCCCATGTTGTTAGTCAATGTGCCTGGTCCCACGCCGTCTCAGCAAATTGAGAATTGTCAAGGGCTTTACATATGCCACCTACCGCAGTGCATATCAAGCTCTGAATGTATTGGAAAACGACAGACACTGGGATTTATACATTACTAATACGCGCAACACATCACATCCTAATCAAATTGGCGCATTGCTTGGAATCATTTTGACCGCTAGTTCTCCTTCTTCTATCACAGAGCCCTGGGAGAAATATAAAACGCACATGGTTGCAGATATTTTCCGTCGAATAAGCGAGGAAAATGTCGATAGGAAAATGGAATTTTTGTCAACAATATACAAGGAAGCGTTGAAAATGGTTGAATATTTGTGTTTAGAAATCGCGCTAACGCACTAGATCTATCGGGAATGCCAGCACCGATTCGATCTGCTGCTGCTTCGATTGATGTCGAATTGCGTCGTGAATTAATTACTACACGGGGCTCTTTCCACGTATGCGCAATCCAACATTCCCAGGTTAACAGGTGAGCAAAAAGGCAGATCCGAGCAAATAATGCAAGCACAATGAAGCGGTTGGAACAATTTTCTTCTTAGATGCGACCGGAGGAACCGGTTAAACGTTTCTTCCTAGATTGTCTTTTGCGGCAAATAGATCGTAAGGTAACATGGCCTTAGCTCTCGTGTGCTACGGAATATTTGCGACATTGCTACCCGGTAGAAGAATGGCTCATTCCGCTGTGAACTCTCCATTGAACGTACAATTCATTGAAGCTCCCACATACAACAATTCCGAATCATCAAGCACGGGAAAATTATAGCATAAGTGTAAACTTATTACTTGGGATGAATGCACAATGGCGCACAAAATAGCTGTAGGTACTTTATCGATTGTTGCAAGACTTGCGACGAAACATCAGACCATTTGTGAACGCGTTATTACAGTTTACAGGAAATTTCAGGCAACCTTGCACGTAGTTCCTCGGTGTACACCATCGGAGAAATAAAACGTTTGCCTGAAATAGCCTTCTTTGTGGCGTTACGTTTTGTTATAAAATTAACAGCAAATATGTGTGTCCAGCTTCAACAAGGTCACTTAGCTGAGGTGTTCTCACTACAATTGCTGGATATTGGGAACGGAACGTTTCCTCTTTTCTTTGACTTCAGGAATAATGTCGTTGCCTCATAACTTCTGCAATTTTGTGACGTCAAAAGCAAATCGGTGGAAGACGTATTGCTCAATATTCAAACCAATTGTCCGAATCACGACTGGCTGAGTGAACGAGCTATTCTTGCGCCCAAGAACAAAGACCTCGATGAATTAAACATTTTTATTCAGTCTAACACTCCAAATGAGGCCGTCGCATATAAGTCTCTCGACACTGTGTTGGGAACAGATACGGCGGTTAACTATCCAACAGAATTTTCGAATTTACTCGAGCTGCCAGGGATGCCACAGCAGCACTTGAATTGGAAATGGGCACACCAATTAACATGTTGCGAAATGTCAACCAGCCAAAGCTACGTACCGACACGCGGCATGCAGTAAAAGAGTGACTCCGCAACATCGTACAGGCAACCATTTGACCGGACTTTCAAAGGTGAAGATATCCTCATTCCTCGCATTCTGAGGATTCCAACTGATATGCCATCTCATTTTAAGAGACTACAATTTCCCATTCGTTTGACGTTTGCATTCACAATCAACAAAATTCAAGGGCTGTCTTTTGAAGTGTGCGGGTTAAATCTACGCACCAACTGCTTTTCGCACGGACAATTGTATGTGGCGTGTTCTAGAGTCGGCAAACCTACCAATCTCGATATTTGCAGAGAAAACGTAACAAAGAAAAACGTGATCAACCCACAAGCGTTGAGAAATTAAATCTATTACACAGGCGAGATTTTTTTCTGTAACATTTTTATTTAACTAGACAACGGAACCACACAAACCTTGCATACCAACACACGTCATTAAACGAAATCTGTTACAATGGTAAGATTTTCCTTTTCTAACATTTTCATTCAACCAGACAACGGAACAGTAAACAACGTTGCATATTCACAAATTTGGTAAAACTACGTCTATTGCAAAGGTGAGGTTTTTTTTACTTTCTTTCATCTTGAGTTACTCCCACTGAGCCGCAGCAACGCGTTTACAATCGCAAGCAACGACGCTCCTGGCAAGTCTTTCTAAGCGTACGAGTTCGATCTACTCACGGACTGCTACTCACATGGACAGTCAGATGTTGCGTGTGCTAGAGTCGGCAAACCTGACAATCTCCAGATCCGTACAAAAGTAAGCAACTTATTTGCTTTCATCTTCAATTGAACCATACTGGGCCACAACTGCCGCATTGCAATTTGAAACTGAAATTCCCTATTTATTCCTTTGGCGTTTATAATCACAATCAACAAAGGTCAGAGATAATCTTTTGAAGTGTGCGGATTAGATCTACACACCGACTGCTTCTCATATGGACAATTCCATGTTACATGTTCTAGAGTCGGCAAATCTGAAAATCCATCTATGCACTGACATCGTTACAACAGAAAATGTTGTATACCCACAAGAGTTTGAAACGACATCTAGTACAAAGGTGAGGTTCTGTGCTTTATTTTCATACGTCTAGAAACGGTACAACTAACGACATTACATATCAACTAGTGTTTCGAAACTACATCTATTACAAGGTTACGTTTTTCTTTTCCCTCATTTTCATTTACCTACACTGAGCCACAGCAACTCGTGGCCTAGTACAGCTAATATATAAATCAATACATAAAGGTATATTTTCGATGATAGGAGGCGTGTCCACGCCGACAAGATATCTGACACCTCTGGGCGACCACTGTCCTCTACACGGAAAGTACCCTGCATGGCAGTGTCCGAGGGGTCGGAATATATCGTAGTTATTTTTCAACCCGTGATGGTCAGCTATCGTCCCCCATGACTCAGTAGTACAAGTTGCTGACTACTGGTGCCATGCACTAGCGGTCATGCGTTCCGTTCCTGGAAGTGTCCGAAGGAATGCACCTCAATGACGAGAACCAATATGATGGAACGGTGGGTTGGTCGTACTTGGTCTATCTGGTCTGAAACCGAATTGTGATTAGTTAAATATGCTTTATGGAAAACGCTATCCAACCTGCAGCACCCAAAAAGATAGCCCTTATTTTTTGTGCGCAATTTTGTTTTATGAATCCCTGAATGTCATTTTAGGCATCACAGGTTCCTTTCGTTCAGCATCCTAGGGAGGAAGCTTCTTAGAACCTGAAAATACAACAATTAGCTTTTAGATAGATTATCGTTACTGATCTGTTGCACATAAAAATAAGCATTGTCCTTTCACATGCTGCAATACCTGCCCAGGTTGACATCAGCACAAGTTGGCTGTGCTCAAGTCCCCAAAACCATGTGCCGACTTAAAAAGAACAGACTTCTATTGTAAAACCAGTGTTGTCAGCGTCTACAAAGCGATCCCGCAATGGTGTATCTACTCCAAAGGGACTGCAACGCCCATTTCAGAGCAATCACATAAAGATAATCACTACTTCATCCCAGATTTTTAGTGACCTCCGTGACATCAAATCGCTCGTAATATTCCATTTTAACCAGTCGAATTGTAGTGCATGTCCTATACATTTCATTCGCTACAATTTGACTGTGCAAAATTTATGGTATCTTCATTGCCTCCCTTGACACATCCACATGTGCTCCTGGTACTTTGCTTCCAATTGCTTTTGCTCACAGATAATCGCCCAGTCTCGATTCACTGCCACCATTTTCAGCTGCACTCTCTGCATAAAAACACGATGTGCGCGAACATGCATGTCGCTTGGTAATTGCACATGTCTACCTGTCATTGTCTACAGTGAAGTCTACCGTCCGTATACTCTCTTCAAGTTTTTTAGTACATAACATTTACTTTGTTCCAGTGGTTTAACACGTTGACGTTAAATCCACTGAATTCACGAGTCATAAAGCGACCCACCATCAATTTTGTACTTACATTGAGTAATAAAATTACTCAGACAAATAGATAATGGTACGTGGTATGAAAGGAACATTCCACAGAAAGCAAGTGTAAATGGTCATTGACCAACCTCTTCATTGTAAATTTCTAGATAGGAGACGCGGACAAGAAATCTGGTGTTGTTGTCCGCCTTGGCAATTGCTCCGAAAATGTGTGCGAAGGAATTAGGAATGATGCCTCGTAATTCAGGGGTGGATCGGATCCCCTCCATCGTAAATGTCTTTCCAGTTCCGGTCTGTCCATATGCAAATATCGTACCTGGAACGTATATGAACCTCTAATAATACAAACCATTGTATCCTTCAATAACCTTGTTAACAATTGGTCGGGCTAACTTGTTGTAAATGTCGGTCTGTTTGCTGAACTCATCAAAAACAAAATCAAAAGTGAACTGTTTCATTGGCTCTTCATAATTTTCTGTTGTTTTTCTCAACCACACGCTCCCTTCTAATTCGTTTACCTTGAACATGACAACAATTAAGCGCTACTGATACCTTGGTTACGCATTTACAGCCAGCAGCTAGTTCCTTCTGATTAGGCGGGCGACAGCGCACTGCAACGATTACGTTATCAGATTGTTCTGTCATCAAATTCAATAGAGATTGTATTGTTCATCCAGTAGTGGGAACAGTTGTAGTAGTTCTGGTTGGCTGAAAAGGATAGGTAGATTTTAGTGCAATCGAGAATCGGGCACTATATTCACGCGACCTGGCAACCGTGAGGAAAACGTAAAAAGGCAAATAGCGATAGTCGAGGTTTAGACTTATTGCCGAAACGTACAGTCTCGATAGGCTGAAAGGCGCCCAAGAAAGGCTAGCTAGGGAGATGAAAGAAAGGACGTTCCGGGGGATTAAGACATTGCTCGATCGTGTTGCGGATGTGCGTACACAAACAAATGTAGCAAAAGGCTTGTCCTTGCTAACCTGTATTCAGCAAGGTATTAGCGCAGCTGCAGAAAAACAGTGGAATCTAGGTGTTCTCATGATGTAGGTATCCACCCGCTCCTTGAAATATTCCAAAGGTAAGCATACAGCTGGTAAGATGACGCAGTGTGTCAGAATCGAAATCAATGAGTAAGAGAAGTGCAACTCATAAGTATGCATCTAGTAAACCATAAAGTTTGCGCTGCATTTCAGTTGTAAGCAAACTTGGAAAAGTTTAAAGATCTCATGTGTTCTTCCTTCAGTAGATAGTCGGACCAGTAGTTGTTAGTGTGACTGGAAACCTTGATGATGCAAAAATTCCACCATATACTGGTCAACAAAGTACTGCTTCAGTATTCAGCACAAGTCGCTGACAAATAGATTATCAAAGTAAGAAAGCAAAACTAGTAACATTATGGACTACGAAGGAAGACGCGCTTGACGTAAAGAGGGTGCCAGAAAAAAAGAGAAATAAAAATTTCAGCAAACGAAAACAAAGGTTTAGCCGTACAAATATTATACAGTCCAAGCTTAATACTTTGAACTGTAGATCACCAGTAACATGATCTGGAAGGCAGTTTCAGCTTTCGACAACTCGTCACGACAAGCCATTTTCCGTCGTAATCCTATTACAGTGCTGTTTGTGCGGCTGCATAGAGCGACTGCAAAAACTAACTAACCTAGGGGAGCTAACCAGCTAAAACAAGCCTTCGTCGATCTTTTCTGTTAAAAGAGACTAAGCGAGGATTAGGTGCTTGCAAAAATAGGAACCTTTAAAAATTATTGTGAGTGAATTTTAATCGTGACTTCTACTTTCTACAATCTTTAAACATATGTTGGGTGCACTCTCAAAATATGCATACATGTGAAGTGGTTTTGCCATAAAACACTATACTAACCTAGTACCACCTCTCTAGACCATCCATATTTCCCTTCTTTCCAAGACAAGATATGATGAATAGTCTAACACACGTCTAGTCTAACACGTTATTATGGCTTGAATTTCACGAATCCAAGAATAATATTGAAATCATTCGGCCTTCAAGGCTTAAAACCGGTTGAGGATAAACCATATGATGCAGAGCCTTCATTCAATTTCAATTAAATTCAAGAAAGGGCTTTATGCACTCAGGGAGTAGATATTCGGCTGTTGCACACATGATTTTAACATTGTAAAAGTATGTAAGAAAAGTTAATAAGCAGCGATATTGTTACAACGTAACTCAGTTTGTAAGTTCCATAACAGCTGGCTTGCCGAACAACCTCCAAGTGGTGCGAGCTGGGTGCCTCAGGATTTTCCCTTTCCAGCAAATGGTTCGGCGGCGGGGTTCCAGGACGTAATGGGTTTCCGCCTGGCAACCGTTCTCATTTAACAACACTGACGTGGCGGATGTGACTCGCCACTAACTAAAGTCAGTCTCTTGCTTCATGCTGGCGAAGCATTGTATTCCAGCAACTTTGTGCTGCAATTCTGTTTGACAAAGGAACAAACGAGAGGCGTATGAACTAAACAATCAGTCACCGGTTCCAACTGGGCGCGATCCTCTGAATTCGCTCCGCTGCCTTGCGGGCAGGCTACTTAGCCAAAGGCTCGGGGTGGTGCCCCTAAGTCAACACCCTACTTCGGCTTGGGTAACCGGGTAGTATCTCGCCCTCCCAGGTTTACACAACGTATCGTTCACGGCAACCAATGTGTTGAAAACGCTAATGTCGTTGCGTGTGCACAGCTGGCCAGGCGTAGACGATATTAAACCGAAGGCGTTGAAGGCAGCGGCCCTAAACATTGCCGAACCATTAGCTCGGTTCTTTCAACGTTGTCTTGACGAAATGCTGATTCCCACAATGTGGAGACATGGGCTAGTCACTCCCATTTACAAAAGCGGTAATCGTGCGGAGCAGTCGAACTACCGTCCAATCACTCTCCTCCCAGTTTTATCCAAAGTAATGGAACGTATAATTGCGGAGGCGCTGATGGGATATCTGGAGAACAACAATATCATAGTGCCACAGCAACACGGATTCCGCCGAAATCGATCCTGCACTACGAACTTGCTGCTGGCCCGAGCAAGCTGGACGGAGTCAGCTGATGCTCGATTTGGAGTCGACGTTGTCTACCTGGACTTCTCGAATGCGTTCGATCGTTTGGACCACCGCATCCTCCTACACAAGCTTCGAGGCTACGGAATCGGTGACCCTGTGCTTGGTTGGATCGCCAACTTTCTCACTCAACGTCAGCTGAATGTGAGAGTCCGCAGCTCCAAGTCCGACCCAATTGACGTCCAGTGCGGTGTGCCACAAGGGTCAGTACTGGGGCCAAGTTTATTTTTAACATTCATTAACGACCTTGCCAGTGTACTACAGTCGAACTTCTTGCTGTTTGCAGATGATGTCAAAATTTGGCATGACATCCGGACAGAGGACGATCACGCAACTCTGCAGAGCGATCTGGACAGGGCGTACACTTGGTCATCCGAAAATATGCTCCACTTCAATGTCGCCAAGTGCAAAGTCGTGAGCTTACGCCACCAGCTCATCCATGAATACTTACTTGGGGACCAGCCGTTGCAACATGCTTCCCAGGAATGCGACCTCGGAGTGATCGTGCAGGACGACCTTGGCTGCTCCAGACAAGCTGAAAAGGCATCGAAAAGGGCCAGTCAACATCTCGGACTCTTACGGAGGGCTTTCGGAAATTTCGAGCCATCTGTATTTCCGCAAATGCTGAGCGCTTACATGAGACCCCACGTGGAGTATGCGATCCAGGCCTGGCGTCCCTGGCGCAAGCGCGACATCAGTGCACTTGAAGCTCCACATCGTAGAGCAACGAAGCTCGTCAGAGGCCTGTTTCACATCTCCTACCAACGCAGACTGCAGTCTCTGGGATTGTACAGTGGTGAATATCGTCGTCACCGAGGAGACCTCATCATGGTCTACTTAATACTGATGAATCCAAATCACCCATGTCGCAGTCTCTTGCAGCTGAGCCAAAATACCAACCTGAGAGGTCATCAGCTCAAACTGGCTACACACTACAGCCGACTTGATTGTCGACGAAACTCTTTCTCACTCCGTGTGTCCCGTGCTTGGAATGCGCTCCCCACTCACGTCGTCCTTGCCCCCACATTGGCACTATTTAAAAAACGCCTAGACGACACACTTTCCAACTTGCATTATTTGGCATAGCACGTTCTAATTCGGAGGACGAAATAACGAGACCCAAACCATGAGGTTACTGACCCTCCCCGCAAAGTGGCGGTGATGTTACATACAGAAGTGTCCCAATGAGTGACATGGATGTATACAAACTGGAGTAACGTACCACATCTCTCAACGGAAGCAACACACGAGTGAGCGTTATCCGTTCCATTGATTTCTTTTTCCCACATTTGCTGTAATATAACAGCTCTACTTTGGGTGCAGACATCCAGTTCATACTTCAAACTATCATTATGAAGTGGTGTGTTGAAATCTGTAGAGGCTTAAAAAACGATTTACTTGTTCGATTATCCTTCCATTTTATCTATTGCTCCAACCACCCTACGGGACCTGTCAAGCATATGCTTTTTTACCCGTTATAAATCATTGTTCATTGTTCATTGAAACCATGGACTTTGATGTGTTGTGTTGTGTTTTCCTGTACAATTTCCGTAGCTTCTTTTGTGTTCCATGGTTTCTGATGGTTCTATATCTATTCATAGACAGTGATATGGTTGGCGGCATCCGGTTTCGGATTTGCCTGTCACTGTGGCAAGCCACAGGACGCCTGCGCCTACAGAGGGACCATGGATGGCTTGCGCTGCACCACCCACAGCTCCAACCACATACCCCATATCCAGTGTAAACCCGAAGGAATAAGACCGGGAGGCATGCGGTTGGGAACCACGTTTCATCAACGGAGCCGGCCCACACTCCTTCACAGGCAAACACAAGCACATTGTATTTGGGGAATCAAGCGCACACAAGGCGGTGGCTGGACCGTAGTCCGCTCCATACTGAGTGCATGGAACCACTCTTCGAGCCTAACACGGCCACAAGAACCGTGCACCCCGTCCCCTCCAGCAACGACCAACTGTCTCCTGGAGCCAGTATGGACGAGGTAGTGGGTAATAGACAGGTAGGCACCTTGTCAACATGCACATCAAGCGCAGCCACACCGGGGATATCAAACAACAGCCAAACACCGCCTGAAATAATTATTTTAGACAGTGATATATATATATATATATACATACATACATAACCACTGAGTTATGGTTGAACAAAAACCGCATTAAAGGTGGGATTACGCATGAGTGGTAAGCCCTTGTATAGGAATAAGTGGATCTGTACTTTGTTTTGTTAAGGGAGTTGAGATACAGTCAGGCAATGCACTATAAAGTGGGTGACTTGCATCAACGAGTATTTCGGAAGCAACACTTTTGCGCAAACTGGAATGAGCAGACTAAATAATGTCAACCAATGACGGCTTTAGGATTCCACTACATCGAAACAATTGGGTTAGTGACCTACCTAGGATTTTAAAATGCGTCTTAGGAAACCGGGAATATCAAAGGAGAGCAATAAGTCCGGTAGGGTAAGACGAAAGCGGTGATAAATCACAGTATTAGGTAGCGGAGGACAGTGAATGATCGCAAACGAGCAGCGTAAACAGAAAATCTCCTCATTTTTGCACAGACTTCATTCACATGGAGTGACCATGATAGATCTTGGCTGAGTATAACAGCTAGA